AAGACTTAATCAAACTAATGCACTTTTGCACAGCAAAAGAAACTATCATCAGAGCAAACAGACAACTTACAGAATGAAAGAAAATTTTTGCAATCTACCCATCTGACAAAGGTTTAATATCCAGAATTTGCAAAGCATTTAAACAAATTTACAAGAAACAAAGAAACCCATCAAAAAGTGGGTAAAGGATATGAAAAGACACTTCTCAAAAGAAGACATTTATATGGCCAATAAACATACAAAAAAGTCAACTACACTGATCATTGGAGAAATGCACATCAAAACCACAATGAGATACCACCTCACACCAGTCAGTATGATGATTGTTAAAAAGTCAAAAAACTACAGATGCTGGCAAGGCTGTGGAGAAATAGGAACACTTTTACATTGTTGGTTGAAATGTACAATGGTTCATTTAATAAATGGCACTGGGAAAACTTCCACATTATGGAAGACAGTGTGGCAATTCAAGGATCAAAAACCAGAAATACAATTTGACCCAGCAATTCCATTACTGAGTACATATCCAAAGTAATATCAATCATTCTATTATAACAAGACATGCACATATATATTTATTGCAGTGCTAGTCACAATAGAAAAGCCTTGGAACCAACCCACATGCCCATTAATTATAGACTGGATAAAGAAAATGTAGTAGATCTATATACACCATGGAATACTATGTAGCCACAAAAGGAGGAGATCATGTTCTTTGCAGGGACACGAATGAATCTGGAAGCCACCATTCTCAGCAAACTGACACAGGAACAGAAAATCAAACACCATGTGTTCTCACTTATAAGTGGAAGTCAAACAATGAGAACACATGGACACAGAGAGGGGAACAACACACCTTGGGGCCTATCAGAATCGGGTAAGGGGAGGGAGGGCATCAGGAACAATAGCTAATGAGTGAGGGATTTAAAACCTATGTGATGGGTTGATAGGTGCAGCAAACCACCATGGCACCTATCAACGTATACCTATGTGACAAATCCACACATTCTTCAATGTATCCTGGAATTTAAAAATATATATAAATGTAAAAGAATAAGTCATTTGTAAATTACTTATAATATGTAATACAATGTAAATATCTGTTATACCTTTTTTAATTTGTATTTTTATTGTTGTATTGCTGTTTTTATTTTCTAAATATTTTTGATTCATGGTTGGTTGAATCATGGATGGCAAATCTGTGGATATGAAGGGCCAGCCATATTGGGGAAAATTATTCCATGCAATTTATTAAGACATTTTAGCTATTCACTTTCATGTAAAATTTAGCCTTTTTCTATCAAACACTGTGTTAGTGAGGGAATGTGTTCTCTTTCTGGGTCCACGAGGGGGCGTAGTTTTAAGGGCAAGAATTTCCCAGCGCCATGCCTCCCTCCCATCTCTCTCCATCCGGGAGATTTAATGGTTTATGTTTGAATTTCTGGGGTGTGGGGAGAAACTAAAAGTCAATCACTCCAGTGGAAGTTCTAAGGAACTCCCTTCATTGGTCAGGGGCCTTAGAGAATGTGGAGGTTCCTCCCAGGTTAAAAGTCCCCTTCTTCCACACCCCTTTGGACTCCATGTTTGGGTCCCATTCCAGGAACACTCCCTTCATGGAAGCCCTCTTTCTCTCTCTTGGATTTCCCCCTGGAGTCCCCTTCCACACTCTCGTGGAAGCCTGTCATCTTGTCCTAAATGCCATTTATCTCTATTCTCTAACACACTCATGGAAGCTGCTTTCATATGGATTCCATCTTTCTGGATTATCTCACTCAGTGTGATAGTTAGCTGTTTCTTTCCCTCTTCTTTTCCTTTTTTTCTCTCTCTTTAAATAAATCACTTTCTACAAACTCTTTTGAGACTGGCATTTACTGCACACTTTGCCATGGTCCCCTTTCTCATTCTTGAGAGGGCAGGAGACCAAGAACCTGGAGAAATGTCCTCTCAGGGAGCTGAGGGCACCCTGAACCCCAATATTACATTAGCATTTGATAGAAATTTTATTAAATTTATAAATCAAACTGAGAAGAATCAATGTTGATATTATGTTGAGTCTTTCAATGCATAATTTTGATATGTCTCCATTTATTTAGAACTTTTAAAATTTTATTAAAATCAGCATTATGTCACTCAACATACAGAATTTGGCATGTTATATTGTTTATAAGTAAGAATTTCATTTTCTTTGAATTTATTGCAAATGAGAGTGTTTTTAAATTGATATGTAACTCACATGGAATTAAATTTAGTCTTTTAAAGTATATAATCAGTTTGTTTTTAGTATATTCATGAAGTTGTATAACCATCACTATTTTCTTCTAAAACCTACTCATTACTCTCAAAATACACCCCACTCCTATTAGCAGCCACTCTCCATCTCCCCTACCCCTAACCACTTGGCAAACTCTAAGTTACTTTCTCTCTATGAATTAGTCTATTCTAGACATTTCATAGAAATGAACTATACAATGTCAACTTATGTTCCTGGCTTAGTTAACTTAGCATAATGATTTCTAGGTTTATCCCATTTGTAACATATTAGAAGTTCCAATATTTTTATGACTGAATAAAATTACGCTTCCTGGATATACCACAATTTCTTATCCATCAGCTTATGGACATTTGAACTGTTTTCCATTGTTGGCTATTTGTTAATAATTCTAACATTTACTTATTAATTTTTGTGTTGAAAATATATTTTTAGATATCGGGTTATATACCTAAAAGTAGAATCACTGGATCATATAATAACTATATTTAATCACTTGAAGAACTTTGGGACTGTTTTCCAAAGTGACTGCACAATTTTATATTCTGTAGAGCCATGTTTCAGGGTACTAATTACTCCCCATTCCCCCTACACTTGTTATTTTCTGTACTTTTTAAATTCTAGTCATCCTAGCAGTGTAAAGTATAATCTCATTGTGGTTTTAATGTCCATCTCTCTGATTGCTAATAATGTTAATTTGTTATGCCCTGTGGGACATATTTTCTGCGCAGAATGTCTGTTCAAAACCTTGGCCTAATATATTATGGAATATTTTGTCCTTTTATTGTTGAATTGAATCTTTTTATGTATTCTAGATAAAGTTCCTTAAATATATAATCTGAAAACATTCTTCCATTCTGCAGGAAGTCTTTTTAGTTTGTTGGTAGTGAGTGTCCTTTGAAGCAAAAAACACTTAGTTTTGAATAAAGTAAAACTTTATATTCATTTAGTTGCTTGTGACTTAGGTGTCATAACCAAGATACCTTGTCAAATTCAGGGTCAGGAAGATTTACACTCATGATAAGTTTTGATACAATTTGGGTTAAATTTTGTATAAGGTGTGAGGTAGTGTGTGTTTTTTTTTAATATATATTTATATGAGGTAGATACCCAAGTATATCTATCTATACATAGAGATATCTGCAATTTCCCAACATCGTATGTTGAAAAGACTATTCTTAGTTGAATTGTCTTAACACTACTGTCAAAAGTTAAGAGAAATATATAGGATTATTTTTGGTATTGACAATTCTATTCCATTGATCTACATGTCTATTCGTATACTAGTATCACTGTCTTGAGTTAATTACTGTTGCTTTTTTTATAACTTTTGAAATCAGTAAGTGTGAAATGTCTAAATTCAATTTTTTTCACGAGTGTTTGGCTTTATCTAGGTCCCTTGTATTTCCATAAGAATGTAAAGATCACCTTGTCAGTTTTGGCCAGAACCCAGGTGAGATTTTGATGGAAATTATTTTGAATCTGTGGAACAACTGGGGGAGTACTGCCATCTAAACAATATTTGAGTGCTCTAATCCATAAACACAAAAAGAACAGATTTGATTCTCCTTTGATTTCATCTCTACCCAAATCAATTATCAGCAAGCGCCTGTTACCTGGCCACCCCCACCCTTTCCCCCAAACTACCTTTGAAAACCTCCTAACCTATGAGCTTTGGAGGTGGTGATTTGAGTACAACCATGTGGTGTAGCCAGCCTCCTGTCTATTAAACTCTTTCTTTACTACAATGCTGTGGTCTTTATGCAGCAGACAGAAAGAACCCCTCAGGTAGTTACAACATAAGATATTTTTCTGGGTAGTGAATTACTCTTCTCGCAAAAGTAGCTTAGAGTTCTTTTTTATGCTACTCAACTTTTGTTTTACATTCAGGTGGTACATATGCAGATTTGTTCCTTGGAGTTTGTTTCTTCGATGCCTAGTTGGTTGAGAGTTTTCATCATGAAGGGATGTTGGACTTTATTGAAGCTTTCTCTACACCTATTAAGATGATCATAGGTTTTTGTATTTTATTCTGTTTATGTGATGAATCACATTTATTGGTTTACAAATGTTAAACAGATTTTACATCCTAAGAATAAAGCCTACTTGATCACAGTGAATTTTAAACTGAATTGCTAAAGTAAAGAAACTTATATGGCTTAACAAAAATGTATTTATTAGTTTGCCAAGTAAATAAATTAATATTTTAGAGATGTCTTAAATAATGGATTATCTTTTCTCCTCATAGAGGTTTATATAGAGAATATTAGCAGTCAATTAACAATTTGCTTTCCCTGAAATTTTAGTATCAGTGGCTTTAGATTAAATGTGCTAATTAAAGTATTCAAAAATTATTATACTTATTTAATAGGATACCACTTATCTAATGACAACACTGTCCATTCCAGCCCCACAGTTGTGTTTACCATCTAGATAATCATTGTGGTTTCCTAGGAAGCAGTGATGTATTCACAGATAATTTTACTTGTAAGAAAAATATATTATTTCTCCAACAAGGGCTTCCCTTCCTGGTTAGTGAATTTGGATGCCTTTTAACAGTGATGATAATAATACAAAAAGGTGATATTAAAGAATAATGAGATAAATGGTATGTTTTTTGTTGATACATGTAAAAATACATTCCCATAATAGTTTTTCAGCATATTTATAGATTTGGGGATATCATAGTGTATACAAACATGATAGAAAAAGAAAAGGGAGGTTTGTCTTCACTGCTGTGTCCTTTTCTTCTAGAGGCCCATCCTGCATGGCCCTGTGACCTGCAGATATTTGGAGATCCACAGCTAAGATGCCAGGAAGCCCTGGAATTCTAGAAATGGGACCATTGACATTTATGGATGTGGCCATAGAATTTTCTCTGGAGGAGTGGCAGTGCCTGGACACAGCACAGCAGAATTTATATAGAAATGTGATGTTAGAAAAGTACAGAAACTATGTCTTCCTGGGTATCGCTGTGTCTAATTTAGCCTGATCACCTGTCTGGAGCAAGGAAAAGAGCCCTGGAATATGAAGAAACATGAGATGGTAGCCAAATCCCCAGTTATATGTTCTGATTTTGCCAAAGACCTTTGGCCTGAGCAAGATATAAAAAATTCTTTCCAACAAGTAATTCCGACAAGGTATGGAAAATGTGGCCATCAGAATTTACAATTAAGGAAAAACTGTAAAAGTGTGGATGAGTGTAAGGTGCACAAAGGAGGTCATAATGGACTTAACCAGGGTGCGACAACCATCCAGAGCAAAATAGCTTATTATGAGAAATGTGTGCAAGTCTTTCATAAATATTCAAATTCAAAGAGATGTAAGATGAGACATTCTGGAAAAAATCATTTTAGATGTAAAAAATGTGGCAAATCATTTTGTGTGCTTTTACAACTATCACAACATGAGATAAGTCATGCTGGAGAGAAACCCAAATGTGAAGAATGTGGCAAAGCCTTTTAAAAAGTCCTCCACCCTTACTAATCATAAGATAATTTATACTGGAGAGAAGTCCTACAAATGTAATGAATGTGGAAAAGCTTTTAACCAATCCTCAACTCTTACTAGACATAAGATAATTCATACTGAAGAGAAACTCTATAAATGTGAAGAATGCGGAAAAGCTTTTAACCTGTCCTCAAACCTTTCTAAACATAAGATAATTCATACTGGAGAGAAACCCGACAAATGTAAAGAATGTGGCAAAGCTTTTACACAGTCCTCAAACCTTACTAAAAATAAGAAAATTCATACTGGAGAGAAACCATACAAATGTGAAGAATGTGGCAAAGCCTTTACCCTATCTTCACACCTTACTACACATAAGAGAATTCACACTGGAGAGAAATCCAACAAATGTGAAGAATGTGGCAAAGCCTTTAGTGTATTCTCAACCCTTAGTAAACATAAGATAATTCATACTGAAGAGAAACCCTACAAATGTGAAGAATGTGGCAAAACTTTCAACTACTCCTCAAATTTTACTAATCATAAAAAAAAATCATACTGGAGAGAAACCCTATAAATGTGAAGAATGTGGCAGAGCTTTTAACCAGTCCTCACACCTTACTAATCATAAGGTAATTCATACTGGAGAGAAACCCTACAAATGTGAAGAATGTGGTAAAGCCTTTAGTATATTCTCAATTCTTACTAAACATAAGGTAATTCATACTGAAGAGAAACCCTACAAATGTGAAGAATGAGGCAAAACTTTCAACTACTCCTCAAATTTTACTAATCATAAAAAAATTCATACTGGAGAGAAACCCTATAAATGTGAAGAATGTGGTAAAGACTTTATTCTGTCCTCTCACCTTACTACACATAAGATGAAGATGAAGAATACTGGGGAGAGACCCTAAAAATGTAAAGAATGTGGCAAAGCCTTTAACCAGTCTTCAACTCTTATGAAACATAAGATAATGCATACTGGCGAGAAACCCTACAAATGTGAAGAATGTGGCAAAACCTTTAACCGGACCCAAACCTTACTAAACATAAGAAAATTCATACCAAAGAGAACCCCTACAAATGTAAATAATGTGTCAAAGCATTTAATGTATTTTCCACTTTTATTAAAACACAAGATAATTCATACTGGAGAGAACCCCTACAAATGTGATAAATGTGGCAATGCCTTTAACCAGCTCTTACACCTTACTGAACATAACATAATTCATACTAGAGAGAAACCAGCAAATGTAAAGAATGTGGAAGCATTTACCTGATCCTCAAATCTTACTAAACATAAGAAAATTTATACTGGAGAGAAGCTACAAACCTGGAAGACATCAGTAATTTTGACAACACCTCAAACTTTTCTAAACATGAAAGAAATCGTACTGGCGAGAAACTTTAAACATGTAAAAAATATGACAAAACCTTTAAATGATTGTCACACTTGATTGTAGGTAAGATAATTCTTACTAGAAAAACTCTTACAAGTGTGAAGAATGGCAATTTATTTTTCAGAGACAGAGTTTTGCTCTTTCACCCAGGCTGGAGTGCACTGGCATGATCATTGGCTCACTGCAATCTCCACCTTCTGGTTTCGGGTGATTCTCCTGCCTCAGCCACTAAAGTGGCTGGGATTACAGGCATGCACCACCACCACTGCCCCGTACCCCACTAAGTTTTGTATTTTTAGTGGAGACGGGATTTCACCGTGCTAGCCAGGCTGCTCTTGACCTCATGATCTGCACGACTCAGCCTTCAGAAGTGCTGGGATTACAGGCATAAGCCACTGCATTCAGCCAAAATTTTTAATGAGTACTCACACCTTATTGCCAGGAAAGCATCTATACTTAAGAAAAATTATACAAAGATAAAGACTGTGAAAAAGCCATTAATGTCTGCTCACATCTTACTCAACATCAGAGTACTTAATAAAAGCATTGTAAATGCGGTAACTGTCAAAATATCTTTCAGAAAATATAAGCTTTTAAAGTAAAGAAGAATATTTATTTTGGGCCGGGCACGGTGGCTCATGCCTGTAATCCCAGCACTTTGGGAGGCAAAGGTGGGAGGATCATGAGGTCAGGAGTTTGAGACCAGCCTGGCCAACACGGTGGAATTTCATCTCTACTAAAAATACAAAATTAGCCTGGTATGGGTGGCAGGCACCTGTAATCCCAGCTACTCAGGAGGCTTGGGCAGGAGAGTTATTTGAACCCGGGAAGTGGAGATTGCAGTAAGCCAGGGTTTTGCCATTGCATTCCAGCTTGGCAACAAGAGCACTCTGTCTCAAAAAAAAAAAAAAAGAATATTTATTTCGAAGACAAACATTACAAATATAAAGAAGGTTATAGTACTTTTACTTGTATCACAGATCTTGTTGTACACATTTTGTACTAGAGCAATCCCTAAAGCAGTCACTTAAACTTTGTTCAACATCAGAGAATTTAGATTGGAGAAAAAACCTGCAAATTTGAAGAAAAAAATATCTAAAACTACAACTTAGACAACACCAGAGGGTTCATACTAAGATATATTTTTGCAGATGCAGTATATATTTAAAACATTTAATCCAAAATTAAGTCTATGTAAATATCAGAGAATTCACAGTAGAAATATCTAAGGTACTGACATTTCAGACATTCCACTGTATCAGAGTGCTGAAGATAAAAAAATTCCAAACTAACATTAGTAGATAAATTTATTTGTATATAACTTTAAAAGGAGTAGAAAATTTTTTGAAAGGTTGTAATTACATTCGAAGTATATTTCTTTAAATGTAATTACAAAGAAGTACAGATTTTTTGAAAAGCTAATAATGATGTAATTCAACTCTCAAATTATTTCATGCTATTTCTTAATCTCTATTGTATTCACATGTGAAAGCATGTGATTAGTTGTCATTGCATGAAAGATATAAGAGATTTTTTATTTTTAGGTAGACATTATTTATGATATTTTCCATGGAAGAGTAAGGACATTAAAATGTAATGTGCGTGATGAAAATCTAAGTGGAGAGGCTATTTGTGGTTAACTTATACTGAGTGGTGCATGAGGTAGTGTGCAGAGTAGTATTCTTTTGCCTTATAGTGAGAGAAACATTTTTAAGTTTTGTAAAACTTAATAGTGTATCCTTTTACTTCTTGTACTTTTATGTAATAAAATGGAATACATTTAAAATTAAAAAAAAAGAAAAAGAAAAGGGAGAAATGATAAAAAGGGACCATAAAGAAACCTTAAAGTTAAATTTTTGCTTCAAGAAAAAGACAGATTTCTATATTTGCTCTTCTGTCTTTAACAGACAGCTCTTGATTTCAGCAAGCTCAAGTGCAAAGTTGAACCTGTCTGCTAATATCTCAACTCTGAGCAGGAAATGATAATTTTATCATGTTTTCTTTTCTTCTGTAGGACAATGACAATCACTGAATTAAATAATGCCAAATAGACATATTACATATAAATGTTCAGATATTTTGCCAGAGAGTAGAATTGTACATTGAAAAGAACTATTACTCAACAATAAATTATGGCGACTTAACAGGATTTCAATTACAAGATAGCATACATAAACTTACACCTTAGCTCTCATGCACTTATTTTTCTGGCAACTAAAAAATTAAAAGCTCTCTTAAATATTGTCTCCATAGGAAACCTAGCAGATGAGCAGTGAAAAATATGTCAAAACTCCATTTTACCGAGTCACTATTGTTTCTCCATCTTCTGTGTTAGAACAGATTCATTTCTACAGATGCTGATTTTAGATTTACATCAAATCTACAGAATAATTTTGGCCCATTCTTAAGGTGGCAACTGCAGAGACATTTAATTCTGCATAATCTGACTCAGTCCTGCATAATAGTCTAGATGAAAACACAATAATATAAAAACTTTCAGGCAATCTTGTAAGGCAGAGTACAATGGATGACCAAATTTGTAAAGGGCACAGTACGTGAAGAAAGTGAACATCTTGTTTTTAGTCCTGACTCTTCTATTAATTTACTGTAACCATGAGCAAAGTGTTTATCATTTCAATGCTTTGCTTTTCTTAAATGAGAGTTGACAAGATAGATTAATATCTAAGTTTCTTCCAGCTTTAAAAATTGTTTATTATAATTTTCTTAAATATGCTATTCTTTAAGATATTTTACACAAGTTGGAAAAATATGCCCATGTTCACACTATGTCCAAATTATTACCTACAAGTAATATATACATCTCTCTAGAGTCTTAAGCCTAGAATCTGTGGAACTACCTTAATTGTGCATTTGTTTTCAAATAACTCTTCCATAGTTGCCTGGAGTCAAATCTGTAGCAGTTTCAAATTAGTTATTTTCCAAATCTTAGGTGCAATTAGGGTATCTAAGATCATTGTGAGTAGTAGTAGGGATCATCTCATATGTTCAGATAAGACCAAGCCATAGTGTATGTCTCCCATTTTTTTTGAGACGTTGCCTCTCTTTTGGACTCCCCAAGATTACTTAATTTAATCACTTAGAATATTGGAATAGATATCTAGCTCAATTTGTGACTTAATAACTTAAAGCCTGTATGGATGTCAGATGATATACTTTTAAATCTAAGTCTTCCCCATTATGCAGGTTTTTTCAGGAGTAAATATATCATGCATATGAAAATTGTTTATGAATATAATTTTTAGGTTACAAGAAATAAACCTTTTTTCCCCATTGTCATACTTCTTAAAGTTTCTTTATTTTTAAGTATTTGTACATGACAGTTGTACATATTTATGGGAATGTAATGCTTTGATATAAGCGTGCAATGTGTAATAATCAAAACAGGGTAATTGAGATACCCACCCCCTCAAATCTTAATCATGTCTTTGTGTTAGGAACATTCCAATTCCACTCCTTTGGTTATTTTGAAACATATAATAAATTATTGATAATTATAGTCACCCTGTTGTGATTCCAAATACAAGTCATTATTTATTCTATCTAACTACATTTTTGTACCCATTAACTATCCCACCTTTATCTCTTTTTCATCACCTCCCTTCTCAGTCTCTGGTAACCATCATTCTATGCTCTGTCTACATGAGTTCAACTTCTTCCATGTATGATATTTGTTTTTCTGCACTTGGCTTATTTCACTTAACATAACATCCTCCGCTTCAATTGATGTTGTTGCAAATCACAAAATTTCCCTCTTTTACAGTCGAATAAATATGTAGACAGCTCTTGATTTCAGCAGGTTCAAGTTCAAAGTTCCACCTATTTCTGAATATCTCAACTCTGAGAAGGAAATGATAACTTTATAATGTTTTCTTCTCTTCTGCAGGAGAAGAATAATGACTGCATTAAATTACATTAAGTGAAATAGACATACTACATATAAATGTTTAAATATTTGCCATATAGTAGAATTGTATGTTAAGAACTGTTACTCAATAAATAAAAACACTATATTGTGTATATAAACCACATTTTCTTCATCAATTCATTTATTGATGGGAGCTTACATTGCTTTCACATCTTGGCTATTTTGAATAGTGTTGCAATAAATATGGGAATGCAGATTTCTTTTTTTGTGGCTATAAACCCAGCAGTGAGATTCCTAGATCGTATAGTAGTTCTATTTTTACATCTTGAGAAACCTCCCTACTGTTCTCTATAATGACTGTACTAATACACAGTTCCACAAACAGTGTACATGGGTTTCTTTTTCTCCATATCCTCACCAGCATTCATTATCGCCACCTTTTGGATAAAATCACATTTCAACTAGGAGGAGATATTTCCTCAGTGTAGTTTTGATTTGCATTATTCTGATAATTAGTTACACTGAATGTATATGCCTCTAACTGTTGTCCATTTATATGCTTTTTTTGTAAAATGTCTATTCATTTCTTTTGTCCATTTTTAAGTCTGGTTATTTGTGAGGTTTTTTTTTTTTATTTAGTGTTTGAGCTCCTTACACATTCTGGTTATTAGTCCCTTAGAAGGTTAGTTTGCAAATATTTTCTCCCATTCTATGGTTGTATTTTCACTTTGTTTATTGTTTCCTCTGCTATGAATAAGCTTTTTAGCTTGATGTGATTCCATTTGTTCATTTCGATTTGGCTGCATATGCTTTTGTGGTCTTATTCAAGAAATCTATGCCTAGTAAAATGTCCCAGAGTATTTCCCCAATATTTTGTTCTAATAGTTTTATAGTTTTAGAATGAAGTTTCTAATTCATTTTGATTTGATTTTTCTATATGGCAAGAGACAGGGGTCTAGTTTCATATTCCCTTTGGCATTTCTTGTAAAACAACTCTGATGTTGACAAAAATCTCTCAGGTTTGTTTACTAATGTCTATTTCTTTATGTCTGAAAGATAATTTTTAAAAATGTAATATTATGGTTTCAAAATTGGAAGGTTTTAAAAGATTATTTCCTATAGGACTTTGAATACGTTGTCCTGCTTTCTCTTGACCTGCCAGTTTCTGCTGATAAGTCTGCTACCAAACGTATTGGAGCTCCATTATATGTTATTTGCTCCTTTTCTCTTGTTTATTTTAGTATACTTTGTTTTAAAATCTTTTAACTTTGAGAGTTTGATTATTATATGCCTTGGAGTATTCTTATTGGTGTTGTGTCATCTATGACTTTCTTGTATCTGGATACTCATATCTT